TTGGGCAGTGCGTTTGTCTTGCATTACAACCTGAATAAGTGGGGAGACTGTATGCTGTTGCCCATTGTGGGCAGTATTAGAATTACACTTCTGGTTGACTACGACTGCATGCCGAATCCAATCACTGGTATTATCCATCGTGCCTATTCTGGTGCTGAAAATACCAACCGCCTACTTTTAACGAACTGGATCAACTCTGACTCTCGTGTTCTACAAAATGTTGTATGGGGAGGGACTTCAATTCACTGACGAAAGTCATTTGCACTTGGAGGTTTTGGTGTGATTCATGATGCAATTAAGTAGAGTCTCCGCAGGCCAATTTAGCACTGTTGCATTTGGGCGCTGAGAACAATTTCACTAAATAAGACTGAACCCGTCAAATTTTTGTGGTCCAGTCTAGTAATGCAATCAATTAGACTTTATGTATACTTGATTCAGACTACGCACAGTCTGATGGATTTGGGTCTGGGAAGCTAGCGTTGTTACTTGTGGCTCAATTTTCATCAACACAAACTTCACATGTGGTAGCGTTACATCGGTCGTGTGGTTCTGCTTCGACGACCACTGGTTTCACAAAGCTATACAAGAACAAGGGGTGGGTACAGTTGGAATCAAGACAAGGGTAGGGAATTTTAACGTAAAAAAGCCACACGTCGAAGGTTCCATGTGTGCCACGTACCTAATAAAAGGAACCCAAGATAGTTCAAGAACTGAGGCCTACTAAGGTTCCCACCCATGAGAGTTGAGCCATTGGATTAGGCAATCTCCCGGTCCATCATGATAGTATAGTAATGCCGGTCAGTGCAGTTTTCACTACTGGTGGTGTGACGATGTGTAGAGTAGAGGGAATCCGATTAATGCGTCAAAATAATTCGAATTCCGATGATACTGAGCATACATCAGCCAATTCCCCTCACGGGATTCCATTAAGTGTTTCCGCGTTCCAAAGCTATTTACATTTTTAGACAATTCACCTAGACAGAAACCCTTCACAACCGTCCCAGTTTCAAACGTTACTTGTTCAAATATTAACACCCAAAGAATATTTTAGAATGACGTAACTTATATCTCATTGTTTTAGCCACGTTATTGAAACAGCCAGAGCTGACTCGCTTTGGAGGCATAACGGCAGACACGAGTAGCCAGTATAAATGAATAAAATATTCTTACTCATACAGAAGTAAAGGAGAATCGCCTACCAAGAAGTGAGTAATCTTATAGCTGTCCGAAAGCCCTATTTTAGTTGCGTCAATGAGCTGCTGTATCTGTGTAAACAATTGGAACAAACCACGGCGATTTCGAGATAGCTGAGTGGTTAGGGCGCGAACTTACTAACCAGAAGCTCCACGGTTTGAACTCCTGGGATCTCCACTAATCTTGCCTAGGTTTGGGAAACCTGGCATTATCCCAGGCCTCTCGCCCCTCTTCAGGTAATAATAAATATAAATAATAAATGGATCAGCAGTAACACCCTTTCGGTGCTTAGCTGCCATGCCGCCCATAGCAAGCACGAGGGCTGGGATACTGACAGGATGCCCAAGCCGAGAAAGGGGAATTCGAGAGGCAGTCAGATTCGAACCACGGATGTTCCAGTCGGTAAATTCGCGCTCCAACCACTGAGTCACCTCGTCATTCTCGGGTGGCAGTTAAGCATCAAAAGGGTGTTTTATTCACGCTTCGCGGTACTAATTTCATTGTGGAATGAAATTGTGGAATGCCCAAATTGCAATAAAGAGCAGGCAGTATGTTGACCTAGCGAACAGTCTGCCAAAAAGTAGGGTTAGTATAAACGGCGGATAAGCGCACTCAAACTAGCAAAATGAAAAAAATGGAAAAAAAAGTTGTCAGAATATCTGAACTCATTGGATTGTTTCTTCATCCTGTTATTGTACTTTGAGAATCACTGACTTATCTTGAACTCAGAACAATCCAAGCACAAAAATGTGTTCGTTTTGATATCTTTCGGAAACCAAGCATTGAGACGTTTCAATAGCGGATGATAGGAAGTAGCATAAAAATCTCACCTGAAGTTCTGCAGACTCCTCTTTCACTTCACTTGCGAGGTTTTCTACCTCCGTCAGCTTTTTTAGCGCACATTTTCGAGCATATTTCCGATTCTGTAGTCGTCGACGCCTGTTTCGAAGCTGTTTGTGTTCTTCAGCAGTAACCTGCCGCCTAAGCAGCAGCGAACGTAATTCTGAGGTGGACATGTGAACTAATTCCTCATCGCTGAGAGTTACGCCCATTTCACAGCTGAAATTAGTAGCAGAAGAGTGAATCAAATTCAGGAGTTGTGTGATGGGTATTCTGATAACAATACTTGTGCGTGCGAAACATATGGGTAATGATAAATATAATAGATCGTCCAGCTGTAACACGCTTTCTGTGCCATGCCACCCAAAGGAAGCACGAGGGCCGGGATATAGCCAGGTTGCCCAAGCCTAGACGAGGGAATTCGAGAGGCAGAGGTCTGCTTCGAATGACGGACCTTCCACTCAGTAAATCCACGCTCTAACCACTTGGGACATCTCGCCCCCATACATTTAGAGCGACAGTTCAACCGCCATCACGGTACCGTTTACGCCACCTATAAGTCCGGTGATTTGGTTTTGGCTAAGGACTATCGCAGCGACAGAGAGAAATGGAGTCATGGTTATATCAAACGCCGTATGGGTAACGTCATTCACGAAGTCGACGTACAGTCGGCCAAATGGGTCCGTCACGCGAATCAAATTCGTCGTGAACACGCCGCACCAGCTACATCAGATAGCTCGATTCTCCTGGATATGTTGGATAGTTTTGAGTCGCCGTCCACACATGTGCAAACAAACCACTAGTCGAATCCATATGCACACTAAGACTATGGTCCGGCCGTAGCGCAAAGCCATTTTCACCAACGCAAGGAATCCACATATGGAAACCTACACACATTTGGAAGGGGTGTTAGGACGGTCAGGTTCCAACGGACTATTCTTTTGTAATATTTCATTCTCTCTCGTAGCCAACTGAACCAGAATGCTCTTTATTCCTTTTGTTCATCCGTAATATAGCCAATCTTCATCTGGTGTCCTTTGTCCTCTTCCATAAGACTTCCCACTCAAGAACTCAGACTATCGAACGCGACATAATAAGTCCCATCGATCTAAGTCACCCAGCTAGTACACCGTTACAACAACCTCAAAACGTACAATCAAATAAGCTGAGATGAAACTAACGGCACGAAAGTCATAGACATCAGCAAATTCGAAAGATAGTGTGATAATGGCCAATTTATTCAGAAAAACTTTGGCTTCAACGATTAGCACGATATCATCTGCACACTCCAGACCGAAAAGGTTCTCGCCTTTCATCGTTTGGTTTTAATATTCCATCAATGACAAAGTTGAACAAGAATGGAGAGAGTGGATATCCTTGTCGGACACCACTTTTTGTAGGGATAAAAAAAGATAAAGCGTTCAGCTGTAGCACCCTTCCGGTGCCTAGCTGCCATGCCACCCGAAGGGAGCACGAGGGCTGGGATACTGCCAGGTTGCCCAAGCCTAGACAGGGGAAGTCGAGTGGCGGAGGTCGGATTCGAACCGCGGACCTTCAGGTTAGTAAATCCGCGCTCTAACCACTTCGGCCATCTCGCCCTTTTTGTAGGGAAGCTTTTTTGAGATAGAAATAAATACTCTCACACGCCCAAATGTATATGAATATGGAAACCAGATTGTGTTAACAGACTTCTGGGGCATACTCTGTTGAGAAAGTGTAGTTAACAACACTAACCAATTGACAGGATCGAAAGCACCCTTGAATTCAAGGAACACCAAGATTGTGGACCGTCTGGACATGTGGTGTTACTCTAACGCCTGACAAGTGTGAATATGTGGTTAACGCAGACCCTCCCCAGTCGAAATCCCGCTCGATTCTTACGAGTCACCGTAAGGATACGAAGAACCAGTGACACAAGAAGCCTTGTCACAACAGGAGCCAAACTAACACCCGTGGTTACTACATTCACTGCGAGTACCATTTTGAAAATGGGTACTACTACCGATTCACCCGTTGTCTGGAACGGTCTTTTTCCCAGATAGACCCATATAAGCTAGAGAGGCAGTGGATGGAAAGCCTACCGCCATCTCTGAATAGAGTAGGTGGAACATCGCCAGGACCAGCAGCACAATGACGCTTGAGTAGAGAAATACACTCAGACACTTCTGGGACTGAAGGCGAATCCATATTTACAGTTCATCTTTATGTTGAACGCAAGGATTCTGGATTTGAGGTAGCAAGTGACCAGCTCAACTGTTGTTGAAGTACTGTACTCAGCTGTCCAAACGTTCTGCTCCGCTGAATATCAGGGAGCCACTTTGGTAGCTAATTATTTCGCTGACAAGATGTTTCCGAGAACCATTCGAACGAATCAAGTGGAACAGCTTCCGGACGTTTCCAGAATTCTCTGCATCTTCCATTTACTCGGCCTTTCGAATCCACCAAGCTTCTCGGTCTGCACGGACACTCAGTTTCACTTAACGTCGGATGATGCGTCGGGTGGAATTGTGGTGGCAGCCAGGAGGAATCTGTCACCGGGCGACATGGTCCTATCAGAAATCCAATATTTGAATAAGGTCGGTTGGGTTGTACCGTAAACAGAAGCTCCGGCTTCGAGTAGCACTTTGGATATATTTTTCCAGCGGCCGTTTATATCCCTAATCGGACCGTCCGTCAGGCGTTCGACGGCCTGGTTCTAATAGTTTCATTAAATTTCTTGTTCCACTAGCTTATCAGCGGCTAAGCGAGGTATGGGTGTTTGCATAGGCCTGAAAACCGCAACCAAAAGCAGCAGCGTACAAGCCCATGGTCGGAGTCCATGCTGGTGTTCCAAAAGGGGCGGAAGGCGGTGATCGACCATCGCCACCAATAACCGGCGCCGTGGTCTATTTGGATTCTGGGCTAGTTTGTTGGTGGGCACGACGCCGTCAGGCGATTTCCGCTGCTCCGGAAATTCGTACTGCCTGTGTATGATCAGGGGATAAGCAGGCGATCGCCGTTGTTCGTCCGTCTCGCGTCCAATCCAAGACGACCGCCCAATCGGGCCTCAGTAGCGCTTGGTCTACCTAACTGAGCGTTCATATCACCAGCAACCAAAACGATATCTGGCAGCATCATCATCATTGTCAGCTGTACTAACCGCGTACTCGTCGTACAGTGGCTGTAGCTGCCGCAGTTTCCTTCACCGATGGTTTGAGGGGGAGGGGGAGGTAGCTGCGCATTGCAGGCGGGAGCTGATAAATTGGTGCATAAATTCAGCACTGTCAGTGGGCTGTCAAGTGGCGGGGGGGTTGGAAAAGGAGCTATGCATTGAAGACAATAGCTTGGATGCACGAGCGCCATTGAGGGCGCGACTGGGCCATAAGCTGCTCTGGCCTTCCCAATCCGGATGGAAATTTCATCTTTCGTGAGACCACCGGGACTGATACAGCTGTCCAGGTAAACAAATTAGTTTACTACCTCAATCGGGTCATCCGCAGGCATGAGGCTGTCATGACTATATAACCCATACATTTG